CCTGGAGATAGCCTCAGTTTCCACAGGGCGGGATTGAGGGGTCAGCCCCAGGACTGTCTTCTTCTGATGCCAACTGAAAGCCCTAGATTGCTTTACCTGCACTTCTGACTGACATGCTCTACAAGTTGGGAATCCTACAGCCCCCTCTTCTGGTTCTGTTAATTTTCTCTAGAGCAGCCCACAGAGCTCAGGAAAACACGTTTACTGGTTTATTATTAGTATTTTGTTTGTTTTCAGACAGGGTCAAGCTCTGTCACCTCGACTGGAGTGCAGTGGAACGATCACAGCTCACTGCAGCCTCCATCTCATGGACTCAAGCAGTCTTCCTGCCTCAGCCTCCCCAGTAGCTGGGACTATAGGCACATGCCATCACTCCTGGCTCTACCAGTTTATTATAAACAATATTACCAGCCAGGCATTGTGAAGCACACCTGTAATCCCAGCACTTTGAGAGACTCAAGTGAGAGGATGGCTTGAAGCCAGGAGTTCAGACCAGCCTGGACAACAGTCAGATCCTGTCTCTACAAAAAATAACAAAATTAGCCGGGCATGATGGCGCACATGGTCCCAGCTACTAGGGAGGCTGAGCTGGGAGGATTATTTGAATCCAGGAGTTGGAGGCTACAGTAAGCTATAATCACGCTACTGTACTCCAGCCTGAACAACAAGGCAAGACCCTGTTTCTGAAAAAACGGAAAAATAAAAATAAACGTTAAGAAAGGATATTACAAATGATACAGATGAAGAGATACATAGAGTGAGGTATAGGGGAAGGTGCGCAGAGCTTCCACCCCTTCTCTGAACCTTGTCCTTTTAAATTTTTATGGAGGCCTCATTATGTAGGCGTGATTAATTAAACACTTGGCAATTGGTGATCAACTTAACTTTCAGCTCCTCTTTGCCTTCCTGGAGGCTGGAAGGTGGGGTTGAAAATCCCAGCCATCTAATTGTGCCTTGGTCTTTCTGGTAACCAGCCCCATCCCAAATCTGCTTAGGGGCGGCCAATCACTGGCCACCTCATTAGCATACAAAAAGACGTCACTTTTAAGATTCCAAGGATTTTAGGAGCTGTATGCCAGGAAACTGGGAGGAAGACCAAATATGTATTTCACAATACCACAGCGAGGGTATGCCATGAGCTAGAACAAACAGACCAAAGCAGTATAGCTTCTTTTGACTCTTGGGAGGCCCTGAGAGGTTGAGCAACTTGCCCAAGGCCACACAATGAGTCTTTCAGCCAGATTTTGAAGTCAGGCAGTCTGGATCCACGGTCAGTGTTCTTGACTCCTACCTGTCTTGTTAAAAGATGTTTCCAAATTACAGTTAATCCTAATTTTATGTTGTTTTATACAATGATTATATTTTCAGCCTTCTAAAAAATATATATTTAAACTGCTGGGCAACTTTTTTGTGTTTTTATGCAGTATACATCTTTCTCTTTCATTAAATACAGACTAAAAGTTGATCATTTCTAACTAAATTAATGGAGTTATTTCTGAGATTTTACACAGTTGCCTCATGGTATCCACAAAGGATTGGTTCCAGGACATCCCCTCCACCCTACTCCCACCTGACCCTCAGAGTTTACCAAAATCTTTGAATGCTCAAGTCCCTGATATAAAATGGTATACTTAATGTCCATATAACCTATACACATCCTCCTGTATACTTTTCATCATCTCTAGATTACTTATAATAGCTAATAAAGTATAAATGCTATGTAAATAGTTATTATACTGTGTTTTAAAATTTGTATTCTTTTTATTTTTGTATTGCTATTTTTTATTGTTTGGGGTTTTTTCCCCACATATTTTTTTATCCTTGGTTGATTGAATTCAAGGATGCAGACCCAGAAGATACAGAAGGCTATTTGGTAGTTGTTTTGATTTTTTGTTTTTAATTGACATAATAATTACACATGTGGGGCACAGTGTGACGTTTCAATACATGTATACATTGTGTAAAAATCAAATCAGAGTGTTTAACATATCTATCACCTCATACATCTATACTTTCTTTGTAGTAAGAACATTCAAAATGCCTCTTTTCTAGGTATTTTGAAATATTTTGAAATGCAATATTATTAACCATAGTCACCCTACTGTGCAATAGAACACTGGAACTTATTCCTCCTCACTATAACTTTGTACCCGTTGACCATCTTCTCCCCATCTCCTCCACTCCATTCTCCCCAGCCTCTGGCAACCTCTGTTTTACTATTTCTGTGAAGTCAACCTCTTTAGATTCTACATATGAGTGAGATCATGTAGTATTTGTCCTTCTGTGCTTATTTCACTTAATGTAATGTCCTACAGGTTCATACATACTGCCACAGATGATAACACCTCATTCTTTTTTATAGCTGAAGAATACTCCACTGAGTATATATGTGCCATGTTTTCTTTATCCATTTATCTGTTGATGGACAGTTAGTTAGGTTGCTTCCAAATCTTGGCTTTTGTGAATAGTGCTGCAGTAAACATGGGAGTGCAGATATTTCTTTCACATACTGATTTCATTTCCTTTGGATATATTCCCACTAGTGAGATTGCTGGATCATATGGTACTTCTGTTAATTACTGCTAAAAGCTAAACGTCAGATTTTTATACATATGGATAGCATACATTTATCAGAAATATGTTGCACTTCATAAATACTTGTAATTTTGGCTGCATATTGCAATGTAGTATGACCGAGTATTGAGTAATAGCATATCAATTTATTTTCTGTTAATAAACTTTAAAAACCAGATACATTAAGCTGGGCAAGGTATTGTGTGCCTGTAATCCCAGATTTTCAAGAGGCTGATGTAGGAGGATCACTTGAGCCCAAGAGTTCAAGACAAGCTTGAACAACATAGCAAGACCTAATCTAAAAACAAAAAGATACATTAAATATATTACAGCTTATTCATTTGAATTAAAAAGTAAAAGCTGGACATAGTGGCTCACGCCTGTAATCCTATTACTTTGGGAGGCTGAGGCAGGCAGATCACTTGAGGTCAGGAGTTCCAGAACAGCCTGAACAACTTCGTGAAACCCCATCTCTATTAAAAATACAAAAATTAGCTGGATGCAGTGGCAGGTGCCTGTAATCCCAGCTACTCAGGAGGCTGAGGCAAGAGAATTGCTTGAACCCAAGAGGCAGAGGTTGCAGTGAGCCGAGACTGTGCCACCGTACTCCAGCCTGGGCAACAGAGTGAGACTCTGAGAAAAAGAGTGTTTTTTCTAGGAGAAAACATGCTTTGGCTGGTTCAACAATAAGAACTGACTTATCATCCAATTCTGCCTTGTTCTTTCTGGTAACCAGCCCCATCCTAAATCTGCTTAGGGGCTGTCAGTCACTGGTCACCCCATTAGCATACAAAAAGATGTCACTTTTAAGATCCCAAGGATTTTAGGAGCTGTATGCCAGGAAACTGAGAGGAAGACCAAATACGTATTTCACAGTATCACAGTGGTAGATGCATTAATCAATGGTGGATATGTTCACTAAATTGGATGAATAAATCTGTAGCCATAAATTGTGAACACTGAGTTGACAACTGATACATCATTAAGAATGAATTTTGATAATTAAACAGTGTGTGACTTTGGCATATAACTTGTAAGAAGCTCAAAAATTCAAGGGGAGATAGACATTACTGTAATAATTCTCAGCTGAGAGCGGTGGCTCATGCCTGTAATCCCTTTGGGAGGCCAAAGTGGGTGGATCATGAGGTCAAGAGATCGAGACCATCCTGGCCAACATGGTGAAACCCCGTCTCTACCAAAAATAGAAAAATCAGCTGGGCATGGTGACATGCACCTATAATCCCAGCTACTCAGGAGGCTGAGGCAGGAGAATTGCTTGAAACCAGGATGCGGAAGTTGCAGTGAGCCAAGATTACGCCACTGCACTCCAGCCTGGCAACAGAGCAAGAAAAGAGAAAAAAAAAAATTCTCACAACTTAGTAATGTGAAAAACATTTCTTAGCATTTATATATTTAAAATAAAGCAACATCCAAAATAGAAAATAGACCTAGAATTAATATTGAACCTGATTCTTCTAGTGGAAAGCCATATTTATGCATGAGATACATTAAATAATTGTGGGAGGAAAGAGCAGCCCTACTTATACCACTATCACTAAGATAGGCTTTTCAAGTAAACAAATAGTATAACAAAATTAATCTTTATGTCTTGTTTGTCCTGTACTAATCATTGTAATGATAATACAGAAGAAAATGAATGTTAACCTTTACAGCCTTATGGATTCAGAAGTTAAAGCACATTTTAAAATTTCATGTTATATATATTTTGATTGCAGAAAAGTATGGTAGGGTGATTAAATACAAGTACAAAAAAAATCTAGGATAAAATTGGAGGAAATGAAATGAAAACAGTTTAAGAAATGAAGGATGTAAAAATCCTAACTGTTAAAATAATGTTTTTAAATGGATTTTGATCATTTAAAACTGTGTTAGGGCTGAGCGTACTGGCTCACGCCTGTGGCCCCAGTGCTTTGAGAGGCCAAGGTAGAAGAATTGCTTTGGGCCAGGATTTCAAGACCAGCCTGGGCAGTATAGCAAGACTCCTATTTTTTAATAGAATAAAATAAAATACAGTGTGCTAGATACCGACCTAAAAAATGTGGGAGGTGAGTTGTATGTATGTGCATACTTTCTGGAGAGAGAGATGGTCCATAGCTTTCATCAGATTCATTAAAGGCAGGGTATGTGAGCCAGGAATCAGTTCAGAACAGTTAGAAGCCAGGTCACCGGTCCCTGGTGTAATATTGAGTCTAGCCTCAGCTTGTTCCATATGTCTTTTCTGTACCAACATGTAGAGGTATGGTAGGTACAAAAGTGTATCTGCTTTTTAAAATCATGGTAGAGTTATAAATTCTTAGGGCAGAACTCTTAGTTCAGAAACATCTTTCCTGTATATCTCCATCAAGTAATTATATTCCTTCTGTGATTGTTTTGTGTATGTAAGTTGGTGGTACCCTCTCTTTCAGTTTGAAGGAAGAAAGTACTGTGAACATGACTTTCAGATGCTCTTTGCCCCTTGCTGTCATCAGTGTGGTAAGTTTTACTGCTAAATGTCAAGTAAAAAGTAAGTTTCCGGCCACATGCGGTGGCTCACACCTGTAATCCCAGCACTTTGGGAGGTGGAGGTGGGAGGATCACCTGAGGTCAGGAGTTTGAGACCAGTCTGGCCAACATGGGAAAACCCTGTCTCTACTAAAACTACAAAACTTAGTTGGGCATGGTGGCAGGTGCCAATAATCCCAGCTATCCATGAAGCTGAGGCAGAGGAATTGCTTGAACACAGCGGGTAGAGGCTGCAGTGAGCTGAGACCGTACCGTTTCACTCCAGCCTAGGCAACAGAGCAAAACTTCCATCTTGTCCAGGGGAGGACAAGTAAGTTTCCAAATTACTTCAGTCATTTCACACTGGTAAAGTATCAATGGTAAAAATGGTTTTTGGTGCTCATTATGAATAACTCTTGGATACTTCATCAGTCCTCTTCCCTATTGTTAATATATAACAAGCTGGAGAAATATCAAAACCAGAGATAATTGATTTTTAAGGACATTTAGGGTAGAGGTATTTCAGGATGAACTAGGACTCCTATCAGTTGGCATTTGGGAGCATTCTTTTCCTGTGTTAACACAACCATTATCTACTTGCTTTTGGTTTTGCCAGGAAAGAGGCAGGGAAGACATCAGTGAGGTACGTGAGATGCTTAGGGATGCTTCAGCACTGCTTGCATGGCGCATAAGTGATTAACTTGCTTGCATATTAGCCACTTCACTGGTTGTTAATAGCTCTGCTAGGTTTCCAGAGATGGAAGAAACTGAGTAGAATGTTCTAAAGGTTTAATGAAAGAATAAAGTAAGTATGGGTTATAAGAAACTGCTGTAGATTTCAGTTGTCTATGCTGACAATGACCAGAAATAACCAAAAGGCATTCAAGAGAGCCCAGTTTGGAAAGGAAAGCTATATTCAGAGAAGACAGAACAGCCCAAAAATGTGGCAACTGAATCAAAAACAAAGACTCAGATGAAATAAAAATCTTTTTTCTAATGAGCTTACCATGGTACACACATAAATAAAAAGTTCCTCTATGGAACATCCTTTGTGTGTTGCTTTCCCACAGGTGAATTCATCATTGGCCGAGTTATCAAAGCCATGAATAACAGCTGGCATCCGGAGTGCTTCCGCTGTGACCTCTGCCAGGAAGTTCTGGCAGATATCGGGTTTGTCAAGAATGCTGGGAGGTAGGTGGATTTTCATTCTTGTCAGATGTGGGTGAATAATGTGACTGTGACAAGCTCATGTGTATTCTCCATGTGGGATGTAAGGCAGTTCTTTTAGGACACCGAATTGAAGGCATGGGAACTCAAGACACTTCAGTGTGTTGACTGAATGTTGCTGCTGGGAGTGGACCCTTGTGTTGCTATGCACAGGGCATAACGGCTCCACGCATGGCTGAACTACCAGCGGGGGATGTACATAGATGGAGTTTCTTAAAGATCAGTCAGATAGTGGGGTTGGAACACATTTTCCATGTAGCTTGATTCTGCTCTGTTAAAAAGCAGAGGAGTGATTTTTTTAAAAAAGAAATTGTTTAATTTCTTTTCAGAGATAAGGGAAGCATGTTTATTTTTAACCATTAGAAAGAACCTAAAATTTTAAATTTAAGTTTTGGCTCCGTTTAGACACCTGTGTCGCCCCTGTCATAATCGTGAGAAAGCCAGAGGCCTTGGGAAATACATCTGCCAGAAATGCCATGCCATCATCGATGAGCAGCCTCTGATATTCAAGAATGACCCCTACCATCCAGATCATTTCAACTGCGCCAACTGCGGGTATTGGGATGTTTCTTTTTTATTACACAGGCAGTGGGAAGGAAAGATTACTTTTATCTATATTTCTGTTACTCTAGCAAACCAAATTGTTTTTCTCCAATTTTTAGTCTAGAAAATGTTAAAACTATAGAAGTGTCAAGAGAATGATATAATGAAATCTGTGTACCCTTAATTTTATTTCACCATTTAACATGTTATCATGCTTGTGTGTGTGTACAATACACGTTCTTGTTTCACCCTCCCATGTATGTGTGTACATGTGCATGTACACACATACCTCTAAAATTTCTCATGACTCAGAATACGTCTCCTGAGAATAAAGGCATTTTCCTGTGGAACTACAATACTTTAAGAAAAAAAATTTTTTTTAAATTTTTTTCTTGAGACAGGATCTCACTGTATCACCCAGGCCGTAGTGTAGTGGGCAGTCATTGCTCACTGCAGCTTCAACCTCCTGGGCTCAAGCAATCCTCCCACCTCATCCTCCAGGGTAGCTAGGACAACAGGCACATGCCACCCTTCCCGACTAATTTTTTTGAATTTTTTGTAGAGATGGAGTCTTCCCATGTTGCCCAGGCTGATCTCGAACTCCTGAGCTCAAGCAATCCACCCATCTCAGCCTCCCTAAGTGCTGGGATTACAGGCATGAGCCACTGCACCTGGCCAGAATCACAGTAGTCTTACCATACCTAAGCAAATTAGCAATAATCTTATAGTATCAACTATCAGTCTATATTAAAATACCCCCAATATCCCCAGAACTATTTGTCATCACTGTTTTTCCAATAGAAGTTCCAAAAATACCTCAAAGAAAGGTCTTATCTCTGTACATGCATTACTTTTACAGTTGTAATAATTAGGTATTATCTTAAAATATGTTGTTATATTTAATTTGGCTTGGTTTACATCTAAAAGAAATACATTTAATTTTCAGTCTTCAAAAAGTTATGATAAATTGTTGGGCTATGAATTTTCTAAATTAGTATAAAAATTTAGTGGATAAAGATTATTTACTGTAGTTAATGTGAACTTACATGCTAAATTATAGTAGGGATGGAGAAGAAACATTAATATTAATATTAAATATTAAGGCTAAATATTAAGAAAACTGTTGGTGGTATAAGTTAAGCCATTTCATCTTTGGTGATTGAATTATCAGTTTGTGCCGTATCTCATTTTCTTGCCTGTCCTTCCTCTTGGGGGATTCTCCTCTGTCCACTTTTCCTATAGAATTACTTCAAAGGGGTGAAATTCAAACAAGTCCATTTGACTAACTGGAACCATCTCTGACCAAATGTTTATTGATGCAGGAGACTGAAAATAATATTTGAGTATTTGGAGAAGGAAAATTCTGGGCATGTGTTTGTGAAAATAAACCTAAACCTATTAACCTATAGCTCTTTTCAACAGCTTGTGACAATTTAAATAATTGTTAGTAAATGAAACTAGTCTGTCAACTTCTCAGTTTGCTTGGAAAGCTAGTGTCTTAGTCTCTTTTACGTGCCTATAACAGAATACCACAAACTGGATAATTTGTAACAAACAGAAATTTATTTGGCTTATGGTTCTGGAGGCTGGGAAGTCCAAGATTAAGGGGCTGGCATCTAGTGAGGACCTTCTTGCTGCATCATAACATGGCAAAGGGCATCACACAGGGGGTGGGAGGAGAGGGAAAGGGAGGAAGAGAAGGAAGGAAGCTGAACTCGTCCTTTTATAAGGAACCCACCCCCTCATTAACAGCATTAATCCATCCATGAGGGTAGAGTCTTCATAATTTAATCACCCCTTAGAGTCCCTACCTCCTGACACCTGCATTGGGGATCATGCACTTTGGGGGACACATTCACACCATAGCAGGTAGTATTACTGAGTCTACCCTCAGCACTGTGATTATTCCCTATACCTTTTAAAGGAAGACAAATGGACTAAAATGTAACGTGACTATATAAGAAGGAAATGATGAATATGACTGGGGTGGTGGTATATATCTAACCTAGTCTTGCATCCTATCCTTTTAAGATACAGATGTTTTGGTAGGAATCTGAAACCTATTCGGGCCTATTAATTCAGGTTACTCTGATCACCTCTAAAGACAGAAGAAGAAAGTTGCAGGGATTGGCATAGTAATATCTTTAAAAACCTTTTAAAATTTTGGCTGGCCCCATCGGTTGGCTGTTTTTCTCTCTTAGTATTAAGCTGGGTGTCTTTCTCACGGACAGGAAGGAGCTGACTGCCGATGCACGGGAACTCAAAGGGGAGCTGTACTGCCTTCCATGCCATGATAAAATGGGGGTCCCCATCTGCGGTGCTTGCCGACGGCCCATTGAAGGGCGCGTGGTGAACGCCATGGGCAAGCAGTGGCATGTGGAGGTAAGTTCAGAGTAACCAATCGTTTCAAACTTCCATGATTCAGCGGTAATCAATCCTTTCAAATCTCTGTGATTTAGGGGTAACCAATACTTTCAACTCTCCATGATTCAGGTGTCCTGGCAAGATTTAGGAGATTCTAAAGCAGGCATCCCCAAACTACGGCCCGCGGGCCGCGTGCGACCCCCTGAGGCCATTTATCCGGCCCCCCGCCGCACTTCAGGAAGGGGCACCTCTTTCATCGGTGGTCAGTGAGAAGAGCACAGTATGTGGCGGCCCTCCAACGGTCTGAAGGACAGTGAACTGGCCCCCTGTGTAAAAAGTTTGGGGACGCCTGTTCTAAAGGTTAAACATGGACATTTTAAAGACAACTGACTTGCTGATGGTTAAGAATATAGAATGTATACTGCTTTTGTGAATGTCTCAGTAATGATACAGGATGTGGACTTTTGCTCCTAAAGCCTTCTTGAAGCAGGAAGTTCCATGGCCTGTATCCAGCAGCAGCTCCTCATTTATAGGTGCTACTGGGGTGCTCATCTCTTTGCTCTTTTTGGGCTATTTTAATAGGCTGTGTCTTAAAGTAACCTGTCAAAGACAGACACATGAATTAAAATGCAAAAGTATTGTATTAGGGAGCTACCTATGGCCAAATCAAATGACTGTCTCAAAGGTTTATTCATCTTCTCTGAAGATAGGTTAACTCTGTGGTTTATTTTATTAGATATAAAATATGGCAAATCAAAAATGACCATTGGAATATTTTTTTTCAGCATTTTGTTTGCGCCAAGTGTGAGAAACCCTTCCTTGGACATCGCCATTATGAGAGGAAAGGCCTGGCATATTGTGAAACCCACTATAACCAGGTATTGACCTTAGTCACTGGATGCTAGATAGACTTTTATGAACTTAAGCTTATCAGTAGTTTAGCTACAAGGAAATCTCTTGGAAGATGTACATTGTTCAGGAGAGATTTGTTTTTAACTATTTAGGAAATAATTTCAGACTCAGAAGCTAACTATAAAATAAAAAATAAAAAGAATACCTGTATGCCTTTCATTCAAGTCTACTGTTTGCTTTATCATTTCCTGTGCTCAGTCTTGCTGTGTAAAACACATACTTACATAAATATTATACACAAATATGATGGCTGTTTGTAAAGCATTTGCCAATAAATTCATCATACTCCTTTACCCCTAAATACTTCAATATGTATTTCCCAAGAATATGAGACTCTCTAACATAATTGTAATTGTCAGTATTAATATCATACTTTAACCCATTTATTCCAGTTTTGTCACTTGAGTCAATAATGTCCTCATAGCATTTTTTTCTACTCCTAGACTGGACCCAGTCTAGGGTTGTGATTTTTTTTAGCCTTCTTAAATCTGGAACATTTCCGGAGCCTTTTAAAATTTTTGATGACATTGACATTTTGGAGGGATGCAGAGGGCCCCTACCCCCTTTTAATAGACTACTTTCCACTTGGGTTCATCTGCTGCTTCTCTGTGGTTAGATGAGGTTATACACGCAGGTTGCAGCCTCACACAGTGGCAGTGCATTCTCTCGGAGCCTTGCCCCTAGAGCCCTTCATAATCACCTCTCTTGCACTGGTGTTTCCCAGGCACAGTGCTGGCTGATAATATCACTATGAATTAAATTTCCTTCCCTCCTTTGTAAGAAAGAAGCAATCTGTGGGCCATCATTTTATGACCATGGAAATGTCTTGTTTCTCTTCAACCCACCACACCTTTATGATTCTTGTCTCTGCACCAGCTGCAAACGACAGTTCTCCAGCACCACATCCTCCACCCATAGTCTGGTCCTCAGCGCTCTGCCTGAGCAAGAACCCACCTCCTCTCCCATCTATAGGTTTATTGATTTATCTGTTTCCTATCCATATATTCTCACAGATTTCTATAATTTGCATTACTTATTTGGGTGCTCAAATTGTCTTCTGGAAAGATTTTTTTTAATTGATGAAAGTGAATTATTTTCATTGTAAAAAGTAAAAATTTGTGAAAGAACTTTTACTGATTTTCTCCAGTAGTGATAAATTCTTCATTTAGATAACCAGCTATTTGTTTTTAAATGTTCCATGTTCAAGAACTTAATTCTAACACATCTTGAACCACATTTTTTTATTTTCAGCTATTTGGTGATGTTTGCTTTCACTGCAATCGTGTTATAGAAGGTGATGGTAAGTATCTGTGTGAGTTTTAGATTGGTACCACTTTGACACAAAAACACTTGGGTCATGTGGAAATTCAGGTTGGTGATTGCTGTTGTTTGGAATGTGATTGTTATCAGTTGCTTTTTCTCTTTCTTTGGTGTATTTCCCAAGTAATCTGTAGCAGTAAGATGATAATATCAAAGAATTGGATTTGTTACTCATTTATGATACTACTTTCAGCCACTGCCACAGTGTTGTATGCCAGCAATCATGGGAACTGTTCCTAGTGGACCATAAGACCTGTTTCTGTCCAGTTCCAGGAAGCTCCATAACAACATTTATTAGGAACAGTTTAATCTGCTATCGTAGTTAGGAAGAGGCACTTTAACCTGCACATGCTAAAACCTGGCAGTTATCAGCAAGCACATCTAGGACTTACTACCCCTGTACTGTGGTAATTAGGCTGGGCTGATTGACTGGAACAGAAAGGAAGCAGCTGTGTTTGCTAACAGTTGCTAACACAATTCTGCCAGAGACTTCCTGGCAAAGTTTTGAACAATCCTGTTTTCAGCATGATTCATGGCTCCCTGCAGACATCACCTAATTCAGGAAATACTTTTGAAACACTGTTCATGTGCAGTTTATGAAAAGATTAGTCCAGGAAAACAATCTTTAGTGCCGTTGAAAATAAAACTTACCTCCCTCCTCTGTGAAACAGATGCCAGGTAAAAGAAGCTGAAAAGGAAACTTTCTTGTTATCATCAGCTCTGGAAAAAAGACTCCTACAGACAAATAAGTTAATGCCCGGATTTTTCAAAATTATTTACCTAGTTCATCCTTGTTGGGCCAACAGCAGTAGGTACAGAAACAGCAAGCTCACCTAACCAACGTTATGCATGAATAGTCACCACATGTGCCCGGGCCAAGGGGGCACAGTTGCTGGTGTAAGATACGGCACACATCATTTATACCTTCATAGGATACTTAAGAACAGGGAAAGATTAAAGTCAGCCCTCCATATCCAAGGGCTGGATCCAAACATTTGGTGATACAACCAACTATGGATCAAAAATATTTAGAGAAAAATAACAATATAAAAATAGTATAGTATAATGACTATATATCATTTACATTGTACTAGGCATTATAATATAGAGATTATCTAAGGCCGGGCGCGGTGGCTCAAGCCTGTAATCCCAGCACTTTGGGAGGCCGAGGCGGGTGGATCACGAGCTCAAGAGATCAAGGCCATCCTGGTCAACATGGTGAAATCCCATCTCTACTAAAGGTGCAAAAAATTAGCTGGGCATGGTGGCGCGTGCCTGTAATCCGGAGGCTGAGGCAGGAGAATTGCCTGAACCCAGGAGGCGGAGGTTGCGGTGAGCCAAGATCGCGCCATTGCACTCCAGCCTGGGTAACAAGAGCGAAACTCCGTCTCAAAAAAAAAAAAAAAAAAAAAATTTAACCAGATGTGGTGGTGTGCACCTGTAGTTATAGCTACTCATGAGTCTGAGATGGGAGGATCACTTGAGCCCAGGAGGTTGGGTCTACAGTTAGCCAAGATTGCGCCACCACACTTCAGCCTGGGCAACATATCAAGACCCTGTCTCATTTAAAAAAAAAAAAAAAAAAAAAAAAGGTCTCCCCCAGGTGCCACAGACACAGTCATTGCAGTCATAGTTCTGTTTTAGAGTTGAAATTCTAAGCTGCCCTGCTCCCCATACTGATGTATTTCCATGTGACCGGATCTCTTTCCTCTTTGTCTAGTGGTCTCTGCGCTTAATAAGGCCTGGTGCGTGAACTGCTTTGCCTGTTCTACCTGCAACACTAAATTAACACTCAAGTAAGTCTATGGTTTTGTCCAATGTGAATCCTAAGACTGAAAACTTTGGGGTGACACTTAAAAAAATCCTAGAAAAAGAATTATTTGATTTCTTATTTCCTCTTTCTGTTCAGGCCTTCTGAAAGTAAAGGTTCTTCCTTTAATTGTTCCCTGTTCTTTCTTCTGTTCCTTCTTTGTCCTGCTCAAAGGGATAAATTTGTTGAAATTGACCTAAAGCCAGTCTGCAAACACTGTTATGAGAAAATGCCAGAAGAATTTAAGAGGCGACTTGCCAAACGGGAGAGAGAAGCAAAGGATAAGGACAAGCAGAAAAAGAAAAAGCCAGTCTGTTTGTAAACTTTTCTATCCCTCTGTCATCATTTTCACTACTTTCTCCTTTGGTTAGTCCTTTGGAATATGTTTTTGTTCTGTTTCTGTCTTTTGTTTTCTTCCTCCCCACTACCCCCACAACTTTTGGGCATGTATTTGTAGTCATCAGAGATTGAAATACAAGTATTTGTCCTCTGTAGAGTTGGTCCTTTTGCATAATTACTAAAATTACAAAGATTAAATGAATATGCTCCATACTTAATACAGGTTTGTGGTCATATATTTCACTTACCCTGTAGACTCACTTACCTCATTTTTTAAACACCATGTTATATACATTTCTATTTTTTTAATTCTAATCTCTTAATAGACCCTAGAAAAAGTTTTAAAGGATTTTTGTCTAATAACTGTAGCTTTTTAAATCCTGGTTTTTTGTTTCTTTACCAAAATCATTTAATTGTTAAATTATAGGTGTTGTTTGATATTTTAAAAAATATTATATTTTTTAAAACTTTGTTCTAAGTTATGTATTATATTATTTCAGCATAGCCAAGCACGGTGGCTCATGCCTATAATCACAGCATTTTGGGAGGCCAGGATGGAAAGATTGCTTAAGCCCAAGATTTTGAGACCAGCCTGGACAACATGGTCAAACCCCATCCAACAAAAAAAAAAATTAACTAGGCATGGTGGCCCATACCTGTAGTCCCAGCTACTCAGGAGGCTGAGGTTGCAGTGAGCCATGACTATACCACTGCACTCCAGCTTGGGCAACAGAGTGAGACTCTGTCTCAAAAAAAACCTTTCAGCATGTTTTACATCGAGGCAAAGTCCATCTGATTTACATAAGACATCTTCTTCTGTGATGTTTATGTATGCATTCATACATTGCCCATATGCTATTGTTTATGAATTCATATCCTCAATGTCTTCAAAGTCTCTTTTATTCCTGATTTTTATGGAAAGTATTTCAATCCTTGAAGTTCTCTTGAATTACTAGCATGATTTTTCCATTTTTCCCTCATAGTTACATTGTGTTCGGAGCTGTAAAAATATTTTGTTTCAGTTTACATGTTTCCTATTATAAAGAGGGATTAAAATATAAATATAAGATTAAAACAATGAGCCGGGTATGGTGGCTCACACTTGTAATCCCAGCACTTTGGGAGGCTGAGGCAGCAGAACACTTAAGGTCAGGAGTTCCAGACCATCCTGGGCAACATGGTGAAACCCCGTCTTTACTAAAAATACAAAAAAATTAGCCAGGGATGGTGACTGGTTTCTATAATCTCAGCTACTCATGAGGCTGAGGCAGGAGAATCACTTGGACCTGGGAGGCAGAAGTTAACAGTGAGCCGAGTTATTGCCACTGCAATCCACTCTGGACTACAGAGTGAAACTCTATCTCAAAAAAAAAAAAAAAAAAAGATTTAAGCAGTGGAAATCTTGCTAAGGTAGTCTCTCCAGAAACGAGAATAATTTTTTTCTTTTATAAAAAAAAATGGCAGTTTTAATAGCTTTTGCTCTAAGAAGACCTTGGGAGAAAAACTGTAAAATAATTCCCAGTGTGGTGTTTTAAAATAGAAGATTTTTCATTTTAAATATGTGTTTAGGAATTAACCTTTGTTACTAACGTTGTCCTTTAAAATGATCTTGAAGCAAAGTCTAGTTTAATACCATGTTTAAATATAGTAAAAATATCAGCAGATTTTATCATTTTTCTTATAGATGACAGTATACCACCAGATTTACTTCATAAATGCTACCTGAATATAATTTCACAGATACAACAAGTTATCAAGTTGTATATTTACTCAACTCAAAATTAAACACTGTGGATTCAACAGTAATAAGCTCCTATAGCTACCTGTTGGAAATGCATTACAGATGGTCAGGAGGCTTGTCTGAAAAGTTATCTTCTCCAGGACATTTAACAAATAAATTGTTATGTGCTCTAGCTTTTCAAAAGAATAGTTGAGTTCTTCAAATAGCTACCATTTACAATACAACCACAGGTGATCTGGTTATATTTATGTAGAGTGATTAAAAACTTTCTTCCAACCTTTCTGTCAGATAACCAGAATAATCCCTTATAATTTAAAATTAATTAAACCACATAGCTACCTAATTTAAATTACTAAGTAAGATCATGTTGCCTCCAATAAAGAACTCATTCACATTACAAAAATATGGTTCTTTCCTTTAGATAAATTTATCTTTAAGGTATTCTCAAGGTATTTTAAAATGTGATTACCAGCCTGGGCAATACAGCAGGACCCTTTGGCTACAGAAAAAATTTTTTTAAGTTAGCCAGGCTTAGTAGTATGCATCTGTGTCCCAGCTATGCTGGAGGATGGCTTGAGCCCAGGAATTAGAGGCTGCAGTGACTTATGATCACCAGTCCAGCCTGGGCGGCAGTCGAGGCTCTGTTCCCAAAAAAAAAAAATACATGATTGACTTTACTTATGTAAATTATATTCACATTAGATTTCCTTTTTACTTAGTACTGAATAAAATGTAATCTGTTAGTCTATGTTACACAGATAGATGTATAGAACCAATTTATAAGGACTTTTTAAAAAATGATATTGCAGGCCGGGCGCGGTGGCTCAAGCCTGTAATCCCAGCACTTTGGGAGGCCGAGGCGGGTGGATCACGAGGTCAAGAGATCGAGACCATCCTGGTCATCATGGTGAAACCCCGTCTCTACTAAAAATACAAAAAATTAGCTGGGCATGGTGGTGTGTGCCTGTAATCCCAGCTACTCAGGAGGCTGAGGCAGGAGAATTGCTTGAACCCAGGAGGCAGAGGTTGCGGTGAGCCAAGATCATGCCATTGCACTCCAGCCTGGGTAACAAGAGTGAAACTCCGTCTCAAAAAAAAAAAAAAAGATATTGTATTTTTTTATATATCACAGTAAGAATTGAGGTTGGAATTACGGCTTTTTACTAATAAGAATGTAGATATCATCTGGTTGCCTTCATTTAGTTCTATACAATTCATATTATTTATATAACTTTGTTGAATGTCTTTCCACTAATTTCTTTCTTTCTTTTTTTTTTTTGTAATTATCGTCTTTAGGAATAAGTTTGTGGAGTTTGACATGAAGCCAGTCTGTAAGAAGTGCTATGAGAAATTTCCATTGGAGCTGAAGAAAAGACTTAAGAAACTAGCTGAGACCTTAGGAAGGAAATAAGTTCCTTTATTTTACTTTTTCTTTTCTTTGCAAGATAAGAGATTACCAACATTGCTTGTCTTGATCTACCCATATTTAAAGCTATATCTCAAAGCAGTTGAGAGAGAAGAGGACCTATATGAATTGTTTTATGTCATTTTTTTCATTAAGAAAGAAAAAAAAATTTCTAATCATGTTTAAAATACAGATGAAGTCAGTATTTGCCTTTGTCAACCCTTATCCATTTGTTGACATATAGACTGTTTACAAAAAAACACATGGTTAAATGTTAGATAAGGCCCCCCAAAATTAAATATAACTTTTTTAAATGACAGGAGTCAACTTTTACATGACTCAGTTGAAAAAAAAAACAGTATAAACCTTAATTTACTTTGTATTCAAAAGAAAATTCCAACTGCTGTTGGGGAAGGATACAGAGAAGAAAAATAACCACCCAAGAAAAAAACAAGAAAAGTGAGTCTTATACAGTCTTAGTATATTTATCAAACTAGTAGCTATAAAGTGAATATATACATTACTAAGACAGAAAAACAAGTATAATTCAGAACTACTTGACTTTTTTTTAGTTAAAAGCAGTAATTATTATGCTTAGTTTTATAATCTGCTCTCCTTCTGAATTCTTCCTTCAAATGATTACTTAACACAGTAGTTATAGCTAGCTAGTAGGATCTCTTTTAAATTTTTGTGCAAAAAAGATGTATACCAGGTATCTGAAAATATACAATACTGGAAAATGAAGTATTTTTAATGTATTACAGCAACTATGCTTCTAAGCGTAATGTCAAGCATGTAGTCTTAGAATAGGACATGAAATTAAATTCTATGTAGCTTGGAATGTGTTGCTTCAGAAAAGTGAATGCGTATGTCAGTCATATTGCCTTCATAATCTTGCTAGTATCTATGCATTATACATATTTAAACTTGCCTTGCCTTAAAAAAAATACGTACTACATACTTAAATCAGGAATTCTAGCCATCTCATGAATACCAACTAAAACTAAGTACATTAAGATCTGAGATTGAGCCGGGCGCGGTGGCTCAAGCCTGTAATCCCAGCACTTTGGGAGGCTGAGGCGGGTGGATCACGAGGTCGAGAGATCGAGACCATCCTGGTCAACACGGTGAAACCCCGTCTCTACTAAAAATACAAAAAATTAGCTGGGCATGGTGGCGCGTGCCTGTAATCCCAGCTACTCAGGAGGCTGAGGCAGGAGAATTGCCTGAACCCAGGAGGCGGAGGCTGTGGTGAGCCGAGATCGCGCCATTGCACTCCAGCCTGGGTAACAAGAGCGAAACTCCGTCTCAAAAAAAAAAAGAAAAAAAAAAGATCTGAGATTGGTAAACTCAGATTCATTTAACACAGCTCTAATTAAAATTTTTTAAAGTAGCCGGGCGCGGTGGCTCACGCCTGTAATCCCAGCACTTTGGGAGGCCGAGGTGGGTGGATCACAAGGTCAAGAGATCGAGACCATCCTTGCCAACATGGTGAAACCCCGTCTCTACTAAAAATACGAAAAAATTAGCTGGGCATGGTGGCGCGTGCCTGTAATCCCAGCTACTCAGGAGGCCGAGGCAGGAGAATTGCCTGAACCCAGGAGGCGGAGGTTGTGGTGAGCCGAGATCGCGCCATTGCACTCCAGCCTGGGCAACAAGAGCGAAACTCCGTCTCAAAAAAAAAAAAAAAATTTTTTTTAAAGTCTATTCTTTTTGGGGGAAACCCATTGAAGTTAATTTCTGTTATCTTATTAGAAGAGAATGATGTTGATACGTGTTTCAGATTTTTCATTTCAAATCTTGTAATTAATTGGATTTATTTAATATAAATAGGAGATACAAATGACACTCTTAAATTGGAAGAGGGGTGTTTTGGTATTCGTTTAAGGTCAAAATTAGTGATTCTATTTTTATCAAAAGTTTTATCCTGAAGTTTCTGGATCACTTTTCCTTAATAAACTTGTTAATGGAAAGCGAGCTTTATGAACATTTAAAAAATGTTGCTGCTGCTTTCTTACTTAAAAAGAAAGTTGCCAAGATAGACTTCTTAGGGAAAAATTATTTTTTCCCAAAAATTGCTGAAATACTGTTTTGCCATTAAAAAAAAAAAGTCTCAGGATATTACCACTCTGCCATTAAATATCTGTATGCATGCATCTTTTTAAAAATTCTGTGCATGTACTTTATGGAGTACATTCTATTTTTGTTTTCAGACACCTTACAACCAATTTTTTTTTAGTAATCTTTTAGAATTAAAACAATTATAAAAGATTAAAAATAATCATCACATTGTTTAAGATTATACATGTTCAGTAGTGTCAAACAATCATTGCATTTGACAGTAAGAATCAAAAGTCTCTTCAGTGTGCCTTTGTCGGCTAATATGTAACCAGCAGTGATAACCTTGGGATTATTTATTAAATATTATACTATGACTATAGGCAGAATAGGACAGAGTTTGCAATATAGAGTCTTGATGCTAAATTCTCATATACCTCTACATGAGAAATATGGAGCAGAAAAACAAGCATTTGCATATATTGTTCATCACTTTGAAGATACATGGCCTGAACTCGACTGCTTGTGTCTGTTTACATATCAGGCATAGCCAGGCATCTTTTGCAGCCAGAGGTTCCACCGCTGTCTTTGCTCAGTCCTCTTTTAAAATATGAATTAGTATTTTCTAGAAGTTCAACTTGCTAAGCCTCTAATACTTCAGCGTAGCTTATCTAGATACAGTACTTTCTTCTCTGATATGTAATATCATTGGAGCCCTTACATATAAGGAGAAGAGGAAGAAGTTGAAAAAGTATAAGTGGATTAAAAAAGAAACTTGGTCTAGTTCATATTTTTAATGGGGCTTTCTCTGGCTGCTGGAAAACTTAGGCCAGTAAGCATCTCTTTGTTTAAAGTCCTACAAGGCAATTTGAAATAATTCATTGTTCATGCCAAAATTCTAAGTACTGTTTTTCTTAACAAGCATAATACAATCAAGAAAAATGGGTACAAGTAAAATATTCTTTGAATCATACTCAAAGCCTTTTTAACACTGCACTTGAATAATAGGTCATTTTGCCTCACTCATTTGCCAAAGTAGCCATTTCTAAGTTAAGGACATTTTGAGGAATGCTGACAGCCTTGTTGTATTTCATTTTAGATTGTAAGCTCAATGGCAGGGATACTAAACTGATAATTGTGTTTTCATATAGCAACCACCACAGTATACTCTTGGTGCTTAATAAATGTTTATAATTATTAACAATAACTTGTATATTATTTAATTTGAATGGTACAGATATGAAATACATATGGAAATTGAAGTATTCATGAATATGTAATAGAAACATTCAAGTAAATGAATAAAATGATCTGGTTACTATGGATAAGCCAAATTTTGAACCAAATAGAACAATAGTGTAGTCTTCCCTCTATTCACTGTAAATGCTGGGGGTTTTTTTTGTTTTTGTTTGTTTTTGTTATTGTTTTGAGACGGAGTCTCACTCTGTTACCCAGGCTGGAGTGCAATGGCGCGAAGGAGATACAGGCCAAACATGGTGGCTCACACCTGTAATCCCAGCACTTTGGGAGGCTGAGGCCGGTGGATCACTTGGGGAGTTTGAGACCAGCCTGGCCAACATGGTGAAACCCCATCTCTACTAAAACTACAAAAATTAGCAGGGTGTGGTTTTGTGTACCTCTAGTCCCAGTTACTCGGGAGGCTGAAGCAGGAGAATCACTTGAACCCAGGAGGCAGAGGTTGTAGTGAACCAAGATTGCACCATTGCATTCCAGCCTGGGTGACAGAGTAAGAGTCTATCTCAGAAAAAAAAGAAAGGAGATACATAGCTTACTAAAAATTTCAGCAAGTCACTGTGTGCAGAGTATTCCTCTTCCAGTGCTTGATTCACCCAGTTCTGCATCCACCTTAAATGTAGAGAATCCTGGGAGCTCTGGCTGAGTCTTGCATTCCATTTCCTTCCCTGGGGAGGTGAGACAGGTCATCACATCTCCCTGTGGGAGTTGTTGGATGGGGTGAACACAGAGCATGCTAAACCGTAGTGGCAGGAGCCCAGGAAGGGGAAGAGCTGGATCTTGATGAACAGAAGCTGGCCAGACAGGGAAGGAGGATAGAGAGTGGGCATCCTAGGCCCTCTTCCATTCCCATTTTCTCTATTTCTCTTGGCATTACCATCAGCGTAGCTCCCAAGCTAATAACAATTTGACTTCAATTTCTCCTCCCCACAACCTACATTTGCCCCCACATCTAAGTCCAAAATTCATCACCTCTGCTGTGAAAAGGTCCCAGAAACCTTTCTTCTGCTCCTGACTTTCAGCCCCTGCTTGCCTCAGGCTGTCCTTGCTCTGCACCCATCAGTCACCTTGCCCTTGCTGTCAGCCTCAGATTCACTCACTGAAACAGAATGAAGTCGATCTCTCCTATGGCAACCGTTTAGTCTGTTTTTCTCTCAATGGCCAGTGCAAGTGCCACACAGAATTGATTTGTTTTCCCAGATCTTGACCGGCCCTCTTGTAATAAATGTACCCTTCTTGCTTTTAAAGCTCAGCTCAAATATCATCTGATTTGTGAAGCCTTTCCTGAACCTCTCTTATTTGTTCCCCTAGTTCTTTATGTGTACCTCTGTCTCGTGGTTCTGATGTGCATTTTAAGTATTGGTTTATGTTCCCATCAGAAGGTTGGCTCCCTGAGGGGAAGAACTGTGTTGACTTTATCACTGTATCCTCTGTGCCAGTCACAGGGCCCAGCATCCCATAAGAGCTCAGTGATCACTGAGTGAGTGAATACATGGGCAGTCAGTGTACGTTATGCCCTTACCATATTCAAGTATTCTAAAAGCTATTAAAACTAAAAATCAGGCCGGGCGCGGTGGCTCAAGCCTGTAATCCCAGCACTTTGGGAGGCCGAGGCGGGTGGATCACAAGGTCAAAAGATCGAGACCATCCTGGTCAACATGGTGAAACCCCGTCTCTACTAAAAATACAAAAAAAATTAGCTGGGCATGGTGGCGCATGCCTGTAATCCCAGCTACTCAGGAGGCTGAGGCAGGAGAATTGCCTGAACCCAGGAGGCGGAGGTTGCGGTGAGCCGAGATCGCGCCATTGCACTCCAGCCTGGGTAACAAGAGCGAAACTCCGTCTCAAAAAAAAAAAAAAAAAAAAACTAAAAATCAGCACAAAGACCACAGCCAGGGTTTTCTTCCTAAAAAACAAAAATATCCCTTCCTTGCTTTAAAAAAAAAAAAAAAAATCTACTTGGGCTGAGCATGGTCACTTATTCCTATAACTCCAGCACTTTGGGAGGCCACAGCAGGAGTATTTGAGCCTGGGAGTTCAAGACAAGCCTGAGCAACATAGCAAGACCCCAGTTATTCAAAAAAAAATTAAAAATTAGCCAGGTGTGGTGGTGAGACCCCATCTCTACAAAAAGAAA